CATGCCAATGCGGCGCTCTGCAATCCCATTTTGCTGCGGTGAGTCCGGAAGCGTGAAGGTCTGGCGGATGCCTCGCGCACGACAGTAGGCACGAAGAAGGCCAGAGGAGAACTCTCGGCCTCTGTCCGAGTGCAGACGCAACACAGGAAAGTCCGAGCCAAAGCTCTGCCTGAGCTGGAGACGAGCTGCGCGGATCCAGTCGATCAGCACCTCAGTGACATCACCCTTGCTGCGCAAGGGGAAGACTGTGGTGTAACGCGAGTAGTCGTCAACCACCAACAGGAAGTAGCGCTCGTGACCGAGTCCACGGACGCGGGCAGGGCCCCACACGTCCATGTGAAGCGTCTGCAACGGAGCCTCTGTCGGAGGAAACTGGGAGGAGTGAGGGGCAGCACGCTGGCGCCCCTCGACACAGGGGACACAGGCAGGGCCAGGGCCCTGAGGAAGGGGAGGGAGGGACCGGGGGAGACCAGACACAAGAAGACGGGAGGCCATGCCTCTGAGCCGAAGCAGAGAGGGGTGGCCAAGGCGGTGGTGCCAGAGGAGGGTCTCGTGAGACAGACGGCGACACGAACAGGGGGCAGACTCAGGACCAGACCTGGACGCTGCAGCAAACACCTGACCAGACGAAGGGACTCTACCAGACTCAGCACCTGGAGGAGAAGCAGTGGTCAGTGTGTACAGGCTCGACCCTGGCTGACGTGTAAACGTAGCCAGGTGGCGACCTGTGCTGGCCTCTGTGCAGTGTGTCACCCGCTGACGAGCAGGAGTGAACTGGTGGACACCCACATCCTGTAGGTCAGCACCACTCACCAGGTTCGTAGAGAACGAGGGGAGGTAGAGACCAGACAGGGTGCCAGAGGGAGCCGCCGGACACGGGAGGACTGTGGAGAAACGAGACAGGACAGGACCCCCAGAGGGGTCAGCCAGGGACACCGCAACTGGCCGACTAAGCGGCGTGAGAGTGGTGCGGTCCCGAAAGAAGGAGCGAGACGCCCCAGAGTCAAGGGTGAAGGTGTGAGAGGCCGAAGCCGACACAGTACCTGAGAGTGCTCACTCACTAGTACCTGAGAGCACAGACGCACTGGCACCTAGAGCAGCAGCCTCACTGGCACCTGACGCAGCAGTACCAATGCCCGGGTCGGGCGGGAAACACCAGTAACAGTCACCCTCATCACTAACAGTCACAGCATACATGGCAGCAAGGATAGCATCAAAGTCAAGATCAAAAATAGCTACACCAGCCCTAGACAGCTCTCCCCAGCGGGGGATCTCAGAGGCCTCCGGAAACTGCTGGCGCCAAGCGTCGGTTAAGCGGGCAAAGCAGCGGCGGGCGGTGTGGGTGCCCCCACACTGCTCACCCGCGCGGTTGCCGGTGCGAAGGACGTAGGTGCAGGGACCGAACGCCCCACCACGCTGACGCTGCGAGTACCACTCACGGAGCTGCTGAGGGGCGGGGATGTCGCGAGAGCGCTGCTGCTGCTGCTGCTGCTGCTGGCGCTGACCACCCCCAGTGCTGCTCCGCTGGGACGAGCCACTCCGACCACCTCCACCACCGCCACCCCCGCCTCCGCCGCCACCGCCACCACCGCCACCCTCGCCCCCGCCGCTCCCACCGCCACCTCCGCCACCACCTCCGCCTGCACTGCCGCCACTAGTACCTCCACTCCCGCCACCACCTCCACCGCCACCCCCACTCCCCCCGCCGCCCCCACCTCCTCCGCCACCGCCCCCGCTAGCTCCACCCGCTCCCTTGCCCCCCTTGCCCCTGCCACAGCGGCGCCTACCGCTGGGGGCAGACGCCGCACCGACCGACTCTAAACCAACGAGGTCGGCCGCAGCAGCAGAGGCGAAAGAGGGTAACAGGGGGGAGGGAGAACACCCCTCAAAGATGGGGGTGCGAGGGTCACCACGAGAGGCCCCTACAGCGACTATACTCTTCTCAGCCGCTAGCAGGGACTTCTCAAGGAGGTCGACAGTGAGGGTGGTGGGACAGACAGAGAGAAACTGGTCCCTAACGGCACGAAGGGACTCAGGGAGACGGGTGACTAGAAAGTAGAGAGTGATGTACATGGGAGGAGGGTTTGCGGCGCGGAAGTCAGCAGGAAGCGCAGCGCGGTAGCGAGTGTCACTAGCGCGGAGGTGGGTAAAGAGGTCAGCGACTGTGGGAAAGGCAGCGAGGTCAGGGAAGAGGTACGGTAGCATGAGGCGGCTCAGCGTAGCGGAGGAAGGGGAGGAGTAGCGCGCAACTACAGCGTCGTACAAGGCCTGAGCGGTCTTGCACTGACTAAAGTGCGCACGCTCGGAGGAAGGGAGGTGGCGACGCACAGCAAGACGTGCAGCAGCATCGCGTGTGGCCCACTTGGAGCAAACAGTGGGGTCAGCATCAGCAGGAGGGGCAGGGACAGCTCCAGAGACAAAGTCAAAGAGAGAAACCTCATCTATCGCATCGCACAGTAAGTACAGCTGCTGGTCCTCGACCGAGACTGCAAAGTCAATGGCGCGACCCTCAGCATCAAAAGCCAGGACACTGGGGGTGGCCATTATAGCAGCTGACAGTCTCACCGGGCAGGAGGAGTCGGGTAGCTCAGTAGTACAGTAACACGGCAGCACAGCGGCTGCGCCGGTCCAGGAGCAGCAGCAGCCCCACAGGAGCAGGAGCTCGGCACCTCAGGTTGCTCGGGCGGCTCGGGCGGCTCGGGCGGCGCGGGCGTCTCGCGGGCGGCGCACGGGTGACTGCACGAGCGGCCGGGGCGGGTCACGGGCGGCGCGCGGGCGGGTCACGGGCGGCTCACGGGCGGCTGCACGGGCGGCTGGGGCGGCTCGCGGGCTGCTCGCGGGCGGCTCGCGGGCTGTGCACGGGCGGCGCGGGCGGCTCACGGACGGGCTGCGCACGGGCGGGAGGGTGGCTCGCGGACGGGCTGCGCACGGGCGGGCGGCGCACGGGCGGGCGGCTCACGGACGGGCGGCGCACGGGCGGCGCCAGCGGCTCACGGGCGGGCTGGTGGCGCACGGGCGGGCGGCTCACGGGCGGCGCCGGCTCACGGTCGGGCGGCGCGCGGGTGGGCGGCTCACGGGCGGCGGCTCACGGGCGGCGGCTTCGCAGACGGCGGCGGCGCACGGGCGGCGTCTGACGGGCGGCTGCTTACGGGCGGCGGCTGACGGGCGGCGCTCACGGGCGGCGGCTGACGGGCGGCGCTCACGGGCGGCGGCTGACGAGCGGCGCACGGGCGGAGGCTGACGGGCGGCGGCTCACGGGCGGCGCTCACGGGTGGCGCTCACGGGCGGTGGCTAGCGGGCGGCGCTCACGGGCGACGGCTCACGGGCGGCGGCTCACGGGCGGCGGCTCACGGGCAGGCCGCGGGCGGCTCACGGGCGCTAGGGTGGGCGCCGGGCGCTAGGGCGCTAGGGCTGGCGCTAGGGCGGGCGCTAGGGCGCTAGGGCGGGCGCTAGGGTGGGCGCTAGGGCGCTAGGGCAGGAAAAAAAAGTTTTCGAAGTGGTGGGCCCTAAGCAAAGTTCCCACAGGGGAACCTGCTCTGATACCATGAGAAGAAGTGAACGAGAGGATGAGTCAACTATAAACGAAGTGAGTACAAATAGGAAACCCTAACGGGGTTGTACCCCCTATGGGATACCCCACTATAGCCTACACAAATAAGTAAGCTATAATGTTCTGACATCTGGCTCAGAGGAGATCGAAGCTCGCAGCTTCGGTGTGTAACCGCATCCCTCCTCGATGTCGCAACTGTGACGTGTCCTTAGGTGTGTCAAGGAAACAGGCCGAACGTGCACTTCTAGAATATGGGGTTGTAAACTGTTACGAGTGCAATTGAGTGAACGAACGAGAATTGCACTATCGAAGCAAGAATACAATGAGCGAAGGCATGAGCGAAGAATATATAGCGAAACTACAGTGGTAACGGTAATGGTCTGTGGTAGTCGCGCGACGAGCTTGGGACTGAGGTTTGGGAAAGTGTCGAAGCGTAGGCCCGGAGCGCGGGTTACCAGCCGAGCCGAGCCGTGAGGTCGGGATGCGATGTGCGAAAATGGCGGGATGATTATCGGTGCGATGATCGCGAGTGGTAACGGTGCTGACTGAGGTGCTACAGTGATGTACGCGTTGAGCAGGGATGCGAAGTAAGGAAAAGGGAATTTCCTTACATAAACAAAACACTAATTCCCTTCAAGTAAATTGAGGGTTTCTTACGGGGATTGTGCGAAATGTAACAAGTCCTGATAAGACTTGTCATGGTTTGGTGGCCCACCACCCCCTGGTTCCATAATTCACTGCTGCCTTTGTGTCACACCTGTTTGGAGAATGCCTACGTGTCCGCTGATGACTCGCTGCTAAGCTTATTGCGATGGTGACTTAGCAGCATCTTACATCGCATAGGTGGGCCGTGGAGGTTTCCAACAGCAGGAATATTCCTTTCTGGTGTGTAGGCAGCTTGAAAACCGTACCAAGGTGAGGGCGGCACTGGACCTGGCCCTGAAAGTGATGCCACGTAGATTCGAGCACATCAAGGCAACCAACTCCCTTAGCGGAGGAGCTGGCCGAACCAACCCAGCGCAGCACTTTTCGAGATGCGCCGTGACTGGGCATACTGTGATTGGTCACGGACTCCTTGCTGACGAGCAGGGTAACAGACCTGAACAGTCCAAAATTCTCGATGCAACGTTGGATTGCATGAGCGTGAATTGGGAGGGGGAAGAAGAGCGATTTGCTAGTGCATGATGATGACATGATTCTGCTGATGTCCCGCACAGCACGAACAGCAACGAAAGGGAATCTTCGGCAAAATATTCTCCGTCCATGTCCACTGCTTCTACTTCACACCTTTCCATTTGACCAACCATAAATTGGCACTACGTATCTTGATGACCGAATTTTAGGGATTTTCTTAGCAGGCGCGTCGTGGAGCCGTGGTACATAAGTTCTAATTCTTTCAGAGGCGCTAAATTAGGGGTGCTTGGACGTCAGATTGCATGCTGTAGGAAGGATGAAGTTCGGTAAGAGGCTTAGAGATCAGGAAGAGGATACGTTGCCAGAGTGGCGAGGCAAGTTTCTTCGCTACAAGGAGCTGAAGAAGCGGTTGAAGACCATTTCCGCAGAATCACCGGAACGCGAGCTTGAGGGGGCAGAGCAGCCGCTAGATTTGTGCGATGAATCTTCAGGTATATTCATCGACTCAATAGGGTTTGGCGAAAGGCATCTTATTAATGACCTGTCCGTGCATCCCTATGTAGAAGGCCAGTACCGCATCTCGATGGAATTTCGGCTAGTATATGGGTTCTTCCCCGTATGCTCGTATCCCCAAGACTCTAGTATTTTTTCCCTGTCGTGCAGATATCGTCAGGCGTGCGCTCTTCTCCGGGTCGTCGGAGGACCCGTTTGTGCAGCTGCTGCTGTCGGAGTTGGATCGGTTCAACGACTTTTTCGCCGATAAGGAGGAGGAGTTTGTCATTCGCATGCACACCATCAAGCAGCGGATAGCCAGTGAGGTTCGTTTTTCATGGAGTAGTGTGTCCGTTATTCATCGTTCACCGACTGGTGTCTCTGACTCACTTTTTTCCGTCTCTGTCCTTAGGTTCCACGAAGGAGTGCTTCCGACGGAACCGTCCAAGAATTTCTTCTTGACAACGCCGATAGTGCCGGGGTGAACAGCATACGCCGTGCCATTGTTGCGCTACACGGTGAAATGGTACTTATCTTGCCCTTCGTTTCTTTCGTCATTTCGACAACCTCGTTTCTGTCCGTAGGCTCCTTTGTTCCTGACCGATCCATTCTCCTTACCTAATCACTGTTCCCTTTATCACCCTGGTTCCTGTGCTGACGTGTCGTTACATCGCAGGTGTTGTTGGAGAACTACAGCTCGCTCAACTACATGGGGCTCGTTAAGATTGTCAAGAAGCACGACAAGCGCACCAGTCACCCGTTGCGTCCGTTCTTGCGCACTGTGCTGCAGCAGGTATATTGCTCACTTCTGTCCTCTTCCTCCGCGCACTTGGTGATTGGCCTGACCGTTGTATACCTTATCTATCATTGGTCCCAACACATCAATCTATATTCCGTTCATATTCGTCCCTCACATCTACCTGTCCATCGTCCGGTTCCCTTCGTGTCTGCAGCCGTTCTGCACGACGGAGCTGTTGTCGCAGTTGATCAGCGAGTGCGAGGTGCTGCTGCAGCAGCTGTTGCCGCCCAGCGAGCAATCATGTACGGCTTTGTCTCATTTCTTCACTTTATTATTAACTTGCAGCACGTGCGGCTGTAATCCCATTCTTTTATCTCATGTCTGATAGATGTCAACGTTTTTGCATCTTCTACTGTCGTCTGTGTTACATGTGCAGCATGCAATCATCCGGTAGTCACGCTTCACCAGGATGTCCCGACTGCTGCTGCTGAGGAAGTGGAAGTGACGCCTGCCAGAGAGCCTGCCGCTGCAGAGTTTGATTCTGATGACAACGATACAGTAGCCATGGTTTACCGCAGTGCCTGTAGCGCCCTTCGCGCTCTTATCGAGATCCGCAGCAGCTCAAAGACCCCACATCCGATCATGCTGGCAGCCCAGCAGGGAGCACTCTCACCTGCAGTGCACTCACCTAGCGTCCCTGCGGAGCCTCTCCAACCCCAAGCCAGCCAATCCAACCGCGGCGATGCTCAGGGTGAAGCCGAAGTGATGGGCAGCGGGGGCGAGTCGAGCTGCAGCACTGAAAGGGGGAGTGCCCAGGTGATGCTGGAAAATACCGCTGGTGTGCACCGTGGGCTAGAGAGGGAGCTGGATTCGGGGAGCAAAGAGCAGGCACAGACGGTTGGCCAATCCTAACATTGGCTTTAAAGGGAGAGACACGTTCAGGTTTTACAGTCATCACTGTAGTGAGGTTGCGGCTGTACATACGCATCTTCAGTTCACTTGCTTGAAGTGTGTTTCAGTTGTGTCAAAGCTGTATTCAAATACAGAATGACAACCATGATCTTGAACGAGATGCGTGGTGTTCATTAGTAATCAGAGGTGAAATAGATGGAAGAGCCAGTCACGAACATTTACTGTAGAAAACAAATGCTGAAAAAGGTCATACGGAATTGTAGAATAGAGATATTAATCCACGTGAATTGTGATAGTCTACTTAGGCTGACTTGCAAAGGCAGCGTTATCATTTCATATGGGTTCTAGTACATCGTTCTCGTTGTATACAAGTCTACATAACAGCATACACAATGGGGTGGGCGGGTGGGAAATTAGAACTACCAATTGAGAAATACCGTATGGCCCCGGATAGAAGCGCAGGCCTATGTTAAGCGCATGCGCTTGTATCTGGAGCAATGCGCTTATGGCCGATCCTCAATTATAAGCGCACCCCTTTGGAATTCTTGACTTATTATAAGCGCACTCGTTTAGTTAAAAAAAAAGAATTTCATTTTTTTTAACCTACCTAGCCTACATGTTCTAAACTTTCCATTAAGAATGACAATCACATACAAGGGTGGTCTCTGCTGTCCTGCACTACACCTTTCAACCTGCCTAGTCTACCCTACTGCCTTTTCTTCCTCCTCGTCCGACTCAGGCTCCGTGGAGTTGTTGCCCCAGAACCCATCTGCCTGGATGTCGTCGTCCACCTCCACCTCATGGGACAACTGACACCTTCGGTGCGCTAGCACCAGTTTGTCTTCGCTCCCATCAAGGGCGTTGCTGATGCCGCAAGTGAGGAATGCTTTCTTGATGAGGTCGGCGGGCACCGCCTTCCAGGCCCGTGAAATCCACTTGAGCACCACCTCCGGAGGTGGTTTCTTGATGTTCCCTGCATCACACGGAGTGGGGCGGGGAAAACATGAGACAAGTAAACATGCATTCAATCTCAAGATTTGCAGACGGGAGCACATGCCGTCACTCACCTGCCGGGGTCAGGATGTTCATGCCGTCCTCCTCAAACCAATTTTGGTACTGCTGACGAATGCTTGCTTTGAAGCTTTTGTTGATCGACACATCGAGGGGCTGCAGGTCTGCCGTGCAACCCGCCGGAATGATAGCAGGCACGATGTTGAGCGCCGCGAATCTCGCCTTGACTTCTGGTGTCAGGTGACCGCGATACGAGTCGAGCACCAGCATGGCGCTACGACTCTGCAGGCCGAATTTCGACTTCAGGAACGGCACCACGCCCGTGTTGAGCCACTCGATGACGCCTGCGGCCTCCATCCACCCGTTGGCTTGGCAGCCGACCACAACATCTGCACGCAACGAAAAAGAACGGTTAACGACTCAGGTAGTAACGTGAATAAACACGGTGGACGATCACTTACCGTTCGGGAAGTCACCCTTGGGGAGTGTCTTGCGCTTGAAAAACACCCACGGCTTCAGCTTCTCGCCCGTCGCCGTGCACGCAAGCATGACGGTCACTCTCTCCTTCTGGTACCCACCGCTGCGAATGGGCACCGACCTCACGCCCGTCTGCTCCACGGTGGTCGTCGCCGGCATCTCTAACCACAGCGGTGTCTGGTCGGCGTTGATGATGTAGCGGTTGTCAATGTCGTATTCGTGACGGGCGTCACGTACGTACTGCCAAAAATCATTGCACTGCTCAGCCACGTCTGCAGAATAGGGAGAAAGGTACATACAGTAAACCAAATTAGTATGACGCACAGGAGACATGCGAAAAAAACTAAGCGTAATCGGGTACCCACCAAAATCAGCAGTAAACGACCCACTTACGCTCCTGTGTTTTCTGTGCCACCTTTGTTTTCATGCGCACGCTGAGGTTCCACCGCCTGCGGAACCGCTCCGTCCACCGCTGAGTGCCTTTCCACTTGACGTCCGGGTATAGAACCTTCATCACTTCTTTGGACCACTCTTGCAGCCGGCCGACCGAAACCGCAACTCCGCGGCGTCGCCAGTCGAGGAGTTGCGCGTACACCTTTAACTCCATGGGGCGGTACCAAGACGACCTCCCGCGCCCGTGAAGTCGCATCCGTGCTCCGTGTGCAGCCTTGAGCGCATCCGCTTGGGCTTTCCATTCTGTCAGACATTTTCGGTGAATGCCTGACTCCCGCGCCACTTCGCTTACCGAAGCCGCAAGCTCGAGCCGCACGAGCCACCTCAACTTCTCCTGGGCGGTGTAGGACTGCCACTTATGTTGATTCAGCTTGTGCCTGGGGGAGGGGGGGCGGGCATCTCGATTCTCGGTAGACGGGTGGGGGCGTTTTTAATTAAGGGGCGGATATGTCGGTACCGGCATCTTCGCGCGTGGTGCGTCGCGCCACCAGGACTCCACACCGTCCTCGTCCTCGTCACGGTCAGGGAACACGTCTTCCTCGTCGCCCGCTGCACCGTCGCCACCAGCTTCACCGTCGCCTCCAGCTTCGCCGGCGCCGCTGTCATGTTTGTCGGTAGCCACATCATCGTCGGCGCCCACAGCCGACTCATCCCACGCGCAGGATTCTGGTTGTCCCCACCGTGGTGCAGTCGCTGGAGCTTGGATGCGTGCATCGCGGGCCTTGGGTGTGTCCGCTTCAGCCAACCATTCGTCGAACGTGGCTGGTAAATACAGTTGGAGCACGGGCCGTTGGTGAGCACCTGCCGTGGCAAAAGCAGGCGGATTCGGAGGAGCGGGAGGTGCGGGAGGAGCGGGTGGAGCAGGGGGTGCAGGGGGAGCAGGAGGAGCAGGGGGTGCAGGGGGATCCGGTGGCACTGGATGTGAGAATAAGCGAACAGGAATGGATGAACTAGAAGTGAAATGAGTACAAGTAGTAAACCCTAGAATTGTGTACCCCCTATAGGCTAACCCACTGTAGCCTACACAAGCATAACATATATAATGTTTGACACACCCCCATAGGCAAAGTGGGGGAGAACAAGGGGTCACAAGACCAGTCAAGCAAAGCAAAGCAAGCTCAGGGTGGATCACAAAGTCACCACACAGTCCGAGCACAAGAGCAGGGCCAGAGGCCAGTTCACATGCAGGAGTACAGACATATATATAAAACTAGACAAGCAAGAGCAGGTATATATATATGTCACAGTACAAGTAAAGTCAAGAGGAGAGCAAGTGAGGCAAGACAGGCACAAGACCCAGCTGGGTGCAAAAGCGCTGATGATCACAAGGCGCGAGTGCCTTGGTGAACACATCAGCAGTGTTGGCCTCAGAGGCCACGTACGCAAGTCGCAACTGACCACGCTGTTGCAGCTCACGAGCAAGGAAGTAGCGGAGAGCAATGTGCTTCGTTCTGTGCTCCAAGCGCTGCTCTCGACACAAGGCCAGCATGGCCTTGTTGTCTACGTACAGCACTGGAGGAGAACGAGGCGGCTCTCCAAGGTCAGTCAGCAGGTAGGTGAGCCAGCGAAGCTCCTGTGCAGCCATGGCCCCGGCGTAGATCTCAGCCTCACAACTGGAGCCGAGAACTGAAGACGAGCGAGTAGACCGCCACGAGACAGAGCCGGAACCAAGGCTGAAGGTGTAACCCTGTGACGACCGCTGCGTAGCCTGGTCGTCAGCCCAAGAAGCGTCCGCGTGGCCTGTAAGGACCACTGGACTCCGCCCTCCAAGCACTAGCCCCATGCCCGACGTACTGCACAGGTAGCGCAATACCCTCTTCGCTGCAGCCATGTGCTCTGGTCTGTGTCTCCCAGGAGCAACATAGCGTGCAAGAATGCTCAGAGGGTATGCAAGGTCAGGTCGAGTGCAGGTCATCAGGTACATGAGGCAGCCAACAAGCTCTGCATACGGACCACTCGACTCTACGGACTCATCCGAAGGCAGAGCTGAGAGTGAGTGGCGAGTAGGCAGAGGAGTGGCCTGAGGCGAGGAGTACGTGAAGCCGAAGCGCTGAAGGACCTGCTGCACCATGTGTGACTGAGTCAAGGTAATGGTGCGGCGTGCTCTGTCCCGAGTGATCTGCAAGCCAAGGTAGCTGCGCAGTTCACCCAGGTCTGTGCACGTGTGTCTCTTCAGCAGTTCAGACTTCACGTAGGCGAGTCCAGCAGTGTCCGCTGTGGCAAAGACCAAGTCGTCGACGTACACGAGGATGTAGAACGGCGGCAGTGAAGTGTCGGTGCGCAGAAACAGCGACGGGTCAGCAGTAGAAGGAGCAAACCCAAGAGCCGCAAGCGTAGTCCTCAGTGTGTCGTGCCACTCACGCGGTGCCTGGCGGAGACCGTAGACTGGCCGTCGGAGGCTCCACTGGGTGCCAGGAGGGAAAGTCCCAGTGAAGCCAGGTGGACGGCGCAGCCAGATCTCCTCGTGCAGGCTACCCTGCAGGAACGCAGTGCTGAAGTCGAGAGAGTGAAGCTCGTAGTCGCGCTGAGCGGCTATGTGCAGCAGCACCCGAAGAGTGGTCATCTTCGGGGTGGGAGAGAAGGTCTGAAAGTAGTCAACTCCCTGCCGCTGACTGAAGCCACGAGCAACGTACCGCGCCTTGAAGACAGGTGGAGAGCCCGGCGGCCGCTTCACCCTGAAGATCCACATGCCACTGACGATGTTCGCCCCAGGAGGGGGAACCGCGTCAACGTAGGTGCCTGTGGACTTCCAGGAAGCCATCTCTGCATCCATAGCTGCCTGCCACTGAGAGGAGTAGGGACCCTCTACGGCCTCCGCGTAAGAACGCGGAGTCGGGATGTCTAGTGCATCCGGGTCTCCCTCAGGGGCAAGCAGTACAGACGCGAGATGAGGTGAAGCAGCCGCTAGACACTGTAACTCCTCCTGTCTGTCCTCTAGGACGTCCGTGCCAAGAGCACACTCACCCCCGACGGACGGAGGACAGACAGACGCAGACTCAGCAACAAGACCAGCAGCGTAGTCGAGACGACAGCGAGCAGCAAAGTCAACGAGCTCAGCG